TTTTTTTTTTTTTTTTCTAAAACGAAAGAATTCATTACTAAATCACGTATTTATAATCAGCTCAAAAGTTGAAAAAGAGAGGTCTAAATGTAACCTAAATACCACAATACAACACAACGAAAATACAAAATACGCGCCAACAAGAGGATACCCATTCCTCAACGGGAGAATCAACAACTCCAAACGGAGAAAATAATAACTTGGAATTATTGTTTACAAAATAATTTACTCATTTATTTAAATTATATTTTAAAACATGACATCTCTATAACATATGAGTACGTCCCGAATGTAGCAATATCATAATATTAAAAGTATTGTTATTGGAGATAGTTTCATCATTTTCCAATTACATATTTGATGCTATTATATCAACATACAATATTTGATGCTTGTGAACATTGAAAAACATCTTTACAACAAAGCAAGAATCATGTGTGGTCTACAATTGTAAGGATTAAAAGAATGACATAAACTTGGTCAAATCGTCCAATGGAATATATTCTGTCGAGCGCGAACAAAATCTTTTAACCTACAGTTTTCATAAATCGATTTATAAGATTCGAATTTTATATTTTTAGTTGTTTCGAAACATTATAATTTTTTTTTTTTTGGTTAATTTATTGAGATTTTAGTTCCTAATAACATCATCCTCAACCTTTTAGGATTTTTTTAAATATTTTTTTTATGTATATATTTAGTCTATATTTGATACTTTAATTAAATTATTATTATTGTGGAATCTATAACTTTATATCTCACTATAGGAATAGTACAATTTAATCCAATATGTTACTTGGCCAAGACTCATAGAGTCATAGTTGTTATATATAATAAACCTTACTATCGTTTCATTTATCAAAAAGCAATTACTGTAATAGTCCTGTTCACCTGCCCACTGCCCACCACTTTATTTTACATGTTCAATTAATTTAATTGAAAAATGTATTCTTAGAATACGTTTTTCATATAAAATAAAGTGGTGGGCACTGCCCACCGTGGGCAGGGGATCAAAATTTATTACTGTAAATTAAATTTGAAAACAACTTTGATCTGTCTTAGATATTCATGTTGACCAAATTGGAGAAAAATGGGCATAATTTCAAAATTGATCCTATAATTTGGCCACTTTCCAAAAAACCACCCCGATAGTGACTACTTTCAAACTTGGTCATATAATTTGACATTTTAATCAAATTTGGTCCTTTTAATCTAGGACGTGGATTAAAATGTGATTAAAAAAATACCAAAATTGATTAAAAAATGACCAAATTTGACTAAAATGTCAAATTATAGGACTAAGTTTGAAAGTGGTCAATATCAGGGTAGTTTTTTGGAAAGTGGTCAAATTATAGGATAAACTACTAGATATCCTGTGCACATGCACATATGTATATAAAATATTCTAAGTAATATTTGAGAATTTAATATTAAAATTCTAGATAACAAACATATTACATTTTAAAAAATTTGATCATTAGGAAAAATAAATTAACGATTTTATTATTATGAACAATTATTTATTATCATTATATAATAATAGTTGATTATTATTATTATTATTATTATTACTATTTATTATTATTATTATTATTATTATTATTATTATTATTATTATTATTATTATTATTACTATTATTATTACTAAGAAACAATTGTTTATAAGATTCTATAGTTGTTTGACTATGCTATTAAAACAATTTACTAATTATTTTTAAAGAAATTTTTTCATGAGATACAAAAGAAAAAGATAATATTGGTATTTATATAAATAACTTGAAACAATTGTTCATAATTAGGTAAATTTATATTTATTGTGAATTATTATTAGTTGGTATTAACAATAACTATTATATAATATAATAAAAAAAATACATGATTACACTTAATAGGATGTATTAATGTGAGAAGTTAAAAGATATTAATGATAAATTTGTAACCGAAAATGGAGGGAAAATTTTTAGAGGTTTTATTAAATAGGTTTTATTAAATGCTATATGCTAGCAATTATATATATATAGATTTTGAAATTATGTCGAGAAA